TGGGTATCCACAGCAGGAGCCACAAGGATATGGAGGAACAAACCCTGGTACTGATGAGTCTACTGGCATTCGTGATGAACCACCACCTCCTTATTGAGCTCATTGATGTTATATGTTTTATATTTTTGTACTATTTAGTACGTGTATGCTCTTATTTCAATAGTCTACATTTCTTTTATTTTCTGTCAGAATAGGTTAATGCAGATTCTATATGAATAATACTTTTCTGTCTCTTTATATTTCAATTTGAATACCAGCTCCACCCTAAAATTATATCATTGCTATGAAGTGTGTATAAATATGAGGTTACTGCATCCATAGAATAATGCAGGCTGTACATGATACTATACTTGAAGAATTATAAGATGTTGCTGCACTCTCATGGCTCTACTGTTGGCTCTGCTCAGAGACATTTCTTTCTAACTTTACTCCTGATCTGTTTGAATTTCAGTTCTATCAAAGGTAATGTCAACTGTTTCAGTGTAGTATATAGAGGAAAATATGTTTACAAGGCATACACTGCATGTTTTTCAAGCTAATAATAATGTACGCAAAATATGAAGGCTGCAGATTTTTCATGTCATTATGATCAATCAATTTATGTACACACAATGTCACTGAACAGTAGCTCTAGACATGCTTCTAGTAATAATTAAAACTGTATGCATAGGTAACACATACTAGACTTATCCTAGCCAGTGAGTGAGACCAATGCATTGTATGCATCATTGAGAATGTTAACTCTTATGTTGTTTCGATCTCTAGCTACTTTTAATCTATAGACTAATATAATTAGGTTTGTTTGTTATACCTCTAGCATGATCACAGGATGTTTAGTTCAATGTTGATATTGTATCACTAGATCTTACGGTATGTGATGTCATTTCCCATACAAAGTCTACAATTTACATGAGGGGATATGGCAAAGGTTGATTAAGTAATAGTACAAATGACATTATAATGCTAATTGATTTTTATTAGCAAAGCCAAAAGCAAAGCTAAAATGATATACTGAATACAGTCTTTATAGTCTATTAAATAGCATCGAATCCTGTTATTGTTAAAATCTTCCAGTTTATACTACATGCATACATGTGCAGCTATGGAAGTAATAAAAACTCTTTCTATAGCTAATTATAGATCATTAGTATTTGATTCAATTTGCCTTGTTAGAGGGTCTAATTGATAGGAAGGGCATCATGTTGAAGTATATGCATTAATGGATCATGGGGTATACTGTATGTGATGATTATTGAGATGTTTACGATGCTACAGTTGCATGTATTCATTTAGGGCATAGCTTGAGCTGATTCTGATCAAAATTGGATTTTTTTTGCAAATTTTTAAAATTGGTTGTTGGCCAAATTTTACCAAAAATGAAAAGAAGAACATTCCATATTTTAATAATTTTTTTCTGATACATACATGTACTTATGTTGCATAAAAAGTTCAATCAAAATTAGATTTTTGATAATTTCTAAAGTAATTCCAAACGCCATGTACTGTATTGTAGTGCTTGCCAGCTCATGAAGCATCCCAGGCTAGATTTAAATGATACAGATTGCATCGTTTTTGTTGCTGTGTAAACCAGGCCTCACTTAGCATGCTTTGTGGGAAACTCTGTACTAAATGCCCATGCATATACCCACACTTTCAACCACACCTATGTCACCTGGTTTATGGTTACATATAGTGCATCATGTTTCATGTATACTACTGATTAAAACAAAAATAATACTCAGCTTTTGGTACATCATTTATATGCAATCATGTATAATTATCAGTATAATAATAACTCACTCATTCATACTCTACTATAGCTTGTACTAGTGGATCAATTCGTCTTGTTGGAGGAGCTGACGATTTAGAAGGAACTGTTGAAGTATGTAGAAATGGAGCCTATGGTACTGTCTGTGATGATTCATGGGATACTCGTGATGCTATGGTGGTATGTAGGCAGTTAGGATATACATCAGGTACTTAGTGTTTAAAAGATGGTGTGAAGTCAGTTGTTTAATTCGATCTACAAATCATTATAATTACTTTATACAGGGACAGCATATACAAATGCGCATTTCGGACCAGGAACAGGAAGGATAGTAATGACTTATGTCTACTGTACTGGATCTGAATCAACCCTTACTAGCTGCCCTCATACAATTAATCGTTATTGTAGTCACTCTGAAGATGCTGGAGTCAGTTGTGAAGGAGGTATGCACAGTAATGATGTGTTGATCAATTAATCTCTACGTAGATTTGTACATATGTAATGTAACTTAAGCTGAGAACTTTTACCTCCTGCAATTACATGTATATAACCTAGCTTTCTTATTATTTTGGGCACAAAAACTAACATTAACTTAATTTTTTATTCTTCAGGCTCTGGCTCTGGTGAATTAGTAGGAGCTATTGTTGGAGGAGTAATTGGTGGTATTGCTTTCCTAATTTGTATGATTGTTATATGTGTATGGGCAGCTGTTTTACATTTTAAATCAGACTCCTCCAGAGCCAGACAAGCAGCTCCTGTAGTTCAAATGACATCAATTCCAGCACAAACTATTAATACTATAATTGGAGCTTATACACAATCCGAGCCTAAGGCAGAAAATCGACCTCCTCCTCCATCTTACTCAGATTATATGGAACAGCAGACACAACCAGCTGCACCAATGGCTTATCCTGGTTATGCTGCACCAGCAGTGGGTTTTACTGTACAAGGATATCCTCAACAGGATTATCCCAGCAAGCAGCAGCAAGAAGCACCAGTTGGGTATCCACAGCAGGAACCACAAGGATATGGAGGAACAAACCCTGGTACTGATGAGTCTACTGGCATTCGTGATGAATCACCACCTCCTTATTGAGCTCATTCATGTTATATGTTTTATATTTTTGTACTACCTAGTCTGTGCTATTATTTCAATAATCTACATTTATTTTTATTTACTGTCAGAACAGTTTAATGCAAATTTTTCAATACTTATCTGTACCTTTAAATAATCTTGAATACCATACCAGAACTTGTTTGCTCCACCCTAAGATTACATCATATCGCCTCATCATGCTATGAAGTGTGTATAAATATGAGGCTATACTGCACCATAGGATAATACTCAGTACATGATACAGTACTTGAAGAATCACAAGATGTTGCTGCACTCTCATGAATCTCCTGTTGGCTCTGCTCAGAGACAATTCTTTCTAATTTTACTTCTGATCTGTTTGAATTTCAGTTTTATCAAAGGTAATGTCCACTGTTTCAGTGTAGTATAAGGAAAATATGTTTACAAGCCTACATGTATATACTGCATGTCATTCAAGCTAATAATAATGTAAACAAAATAAGAAGGCTGCAGATTTTTATGTCATTATGATCAATCATTGATGTACACACTGTCACTGAACAGCAGCTCTAGACATACTTGTAGTACTTATAACTGCATGTTGGAAAAACATACTAGACCTATGCTTTGTATGATCAATGAAATGTTAATTCTTATGCTTAGATCTAGCTACTTTTGGCTCAGACTAATATAGCTAGGTTTGTTTGTTATACCTCTAGTCTAGTATCATAAGATGTTAGTTTAGCTCAAAGTTCATATTGTATCACTATATCTAAAGTCTGTGATGTCATTTCCCATACAAAGTCCACTTTTGTGTGTGATATCAAAGTTCACATGATTGAATATGACAAAGGTCAATTATGGCATAGCTATGATTATTGCAAGAGAACATACTAACACAATGGAGCCTAATACTAATTGATTTTTATTAGCAAAGCTAAAGTGACATACTAAATATAGTTTTTATTTAGTCTATAGCTAACAGTTAGCATGCATGTTCAGCTATGCAAGTGCTAGATATGTAATTAAAACTCTTTCTATAGCTAATTGTGGATCATCAGTATTTGATTCAATTCATCTCGTTGGAGGGTCCTATTATTGGGAAGGATGTGCTGTAGTAGCATTAATGGATCATGGGATACTGTCTGTGATGATTATTGAGATGTTTATGTTGCTACAGTTGCATGTATCCGTTTGGGCCATAGTTTGAGCTGATTCTGAGATAAAAACTGAATCTTAAATATTTTAAAAGTAGTTCCAAATGCCATGTAGATCTACTGTATTGTAGTGCTTGTCAGCTCATGAAATAAACCCTGTACTAAATGCCCCATGCATATATATACCCACACCTTCAACCACACCAGACCTATGTCACCTGGTGTATAAAATAGTGTTACATATACATCTACATGTATCATATAGCTATACTATTATCAAACAAAGATAATATTTTAGCTTCTGTTACATCATATTATGTGCAATCATGTGTATATCAAAATAATAAATCATGTATACTCTACAATAGCTTGCACTGATGGATCAGTTCGTCTTGTTGGAGGATCTAATGATATGGAAGGACGTGTCGAAGTATGCAGATATAATTACTACTTTTCTGGTGGTATCTATGGTACTGTTTGCGACAATTCATGGGATACTCTTGATGCTATAGTGGTATGTAGGCAGTTAGGATATACATCAGGTACTTATATTTGTATCATAAATATTATAATAATAATAAAATGAATTTGAAATAGGATCAGAAATCAGTAGTAATGAGTTTATAAGTGAAATTAGTAATGATAATAATAATAATAATAATCTTTATTAATATGTTAGTGACATTGAAGTCGAGCATCAGAGATTGCTACATCAATGTCACAGTCACTGGGCCTATATATTGATCTCCTTGTACCCCTTACACACCGAATTGTTGATCTTAAAATTGAAAATGATAATTTGCATCTGATGAAATTGATTACTGAACTGTACGGTTTGTTAAGTTTGTCAGCTGTCAGTAATGCAATTCGTCTAAAAACTACATCACATACAGGAGCCAGCCCGCCATTGGTGGAAAAAACAAGACTTAGTGTGTTTCATAAAGTCAGTTGTTTAATTCAATTTACAAATTGGTGCCTTTGTGTCATGTGAATGCTTATTGGAATAACCTATCAGCATAATTACTTTATACAGGGA